TCTTCTTCTCTCTCTCCTCTCTCTCTCTCTCTCTCTCTCTCTCCCCCCTTTTTTTCCCTCTTCCTTTCCACGCGCCTATACATCTCGCGCCCTTTTGTGTATAGGCTCTTCTCGTTAATCGTTCGTGCGATCCTGCTTTTATTTTTCTCTTTTTTTTTCTTTTTTTCTTTTTTCTTTTTTTCCCTTTCCTTTTCCTTTCCTTTCTTTTTCCACGTTCCCTCTTTCTCCCCCTCCCTCCCCCCCCTTTTCCCTCTTTTCTTCGCCGCGTAACGCGTCACCGGGCATTTCCACGAAAATATTGATCGCGTTCTCCGACTCTCGGGGATGGATGTGTCAGCGAGCGGGGTTAAAAAAGACGGAGGCGTGCGCTCGACGACGACAAGCGTCCGCGAAAGCGTCGCGCTCCACACCGTGGCCACAGAGGAATGAACCGACACGCGATCGACGCAACGACGATAATATTTCCTTCCCGATGCAACCGATCTTGGTTCGATATTGGAAAAATAATAATCGATCGATTCATCACAAGTTTTGCACAATGCGAGGACAATTGCGCGGAAAGAAGTGACGGTCCAAAATAATTTCTGCAATTTCTGTTATTTTTTACCCGCCGATTCGCTAAATTTTAGGCCAGAGATTAGAAGATTTTTAGAGATGATTTGACTCTTCCTTCTTTCCTTTTCTTTTCTTTTTTTCCCCTTCCCCTCTCCTCCGTTCGTTGAAATTTCTCGAATGTGCGCGGAACGACGACGGGACGAATGCGGGATCAAGAATGATCCTGGAATAATGGGAGGCGGCCCGTCAACAAAATTAAACAATATATCGTTCAACAAATAGAATTCGTAAAAATGCGCCGCCTCCTTCGAAGATCGTTCTCGAACTCCAACGCTTCCAACCTCGCCGTGTTGCTCTTGTTTTCCATGATTGTCTCTTATTATTCGATTTTTTTCAACAAGATTGTTATTCACCGAGCGTAGCGTAACGATCGTCCCAACGATTGCCTCAACGAGCAGGTACAGGTTTTTATTCTCTCGTCGATGAATTTGAAAGAATAATCGTAATACGATGATGATCTCTGGTAATAACAACTTTTGCGATACGATATATCCGCGTGTGTTGTAATAGCGTCGTTATCTTGTGGTCTAAGCGGGAAACAACGTTCTTACTTTCAAAATATTCATCAACGAGTGAATCATCCTGTTTTATATATATATATATATATATAAATATATACATGTGTATACGTTTACATCGACGTTTCTGATAAAAAACCAGTTTTCTGGGAACGAGATTCAATTGGTTCATTCGGTAAAACTTCTGGTAAAAATTCTGGGTCCCCGTGTAAAAACGCTTGACTAAAAAGCATTGGTAAAACTCGGTCGCGTTAAAACGTTAAAAAACGCGTCGTAGCCCCCGGGACGATTTCGAACGCGCGCGCGAGATTCTACTATTTCTCTTCTTTTTTTTCTTTTTTTCTTCTTTTCTCTTCTCTCTCTCTCTCTCTCTCTCGTATACCGTGTATATCCAGGTAACCAGGTCGTTTGAGAAATTTCAACCTAGAGGGGTGTTAAATAAAATATTTTTTCGTTCGTCCATTTTTCTATTTTTCCTTTTCTTTCCCCTTATTTTTTTTCTTTTTTACATTTTTTCGCTTTTCGAGCGAGATCCGGAACTCGAGTCTTTCGGAAAATTCGATATTTTCAAGGACGGAGGATCGCACGATCGATCGCAGCGCTCTCGTGAAGAGGAGCAACGCACGCGTGCTCGCTCACCGATCAGGAAATCGGTCGCGATGGGATCTCGACGAGTGTCGGGAATTTTCTCCAAATTTAACTAGGACCTTATAACTGACTTCTCTCGCACCTGAGTCTTTCGGTATACGTGGGTTATCGTTTTTTTTTTTTTTTCAGTATACTAATACGCCGCTACACCGTGGCGCCGAGGAAAGAATCGAGTCATCGTTTCGCGGAAGAAACGATTTCTCGATCGATACTCGAACGATTTTCCCTTTGAGAGTGAACGAACAGAAAATAATACCATCGATTCTTTCTTTCTCTCTGTCTCTCTCTCTCTCTGTCTCACTTTCTTCCTCTTAACGCCACGGTTCACGGCAAGAGCAGTGTGTTTACATTAAAATTTTTATACAAGATTTTTGCGTGTATGCGGGCGTATTGAAAATATCGATAAAATTTGTCTCGTTTTGCTCTACGTTTCACTCGTTTCCCTTTTATTTTTTTTTTCTTCGAAGCCTCTCTCATTTCTTTTTTTTTTTTTTTTGTTCTTTAATCCCCCCTTTTTTTTTGTTTGAATGTTCTATTCGATCGTTGAAAGATAATCGGGTCAAGTGATTTTGAATTTTCGCGCGGTTCCCTTCGCTCTGCTTCCCCGTTTCTCTTAAATTCGTTCGAGAATTTTTGTTAATAACGTTTTTTCTTTAATCTTTAGGGAATGGAAGCGAGGCTTTCGAATTGTTGGAGAAGGGGACGAGGTATGGTTAACATAAGGAAACGAGAAGTGGAGGGAAAGTGAGAGATCGAAGTGGCCCATCGCATCTTCGCGATCTTTTATTAGACGATAAGATTCGAGGATAGTTTCCAAGACTCGTTCCACGCGAATGTACACGACGATTACATTCACGAGCTGCATCGTTTCCGAGGACCCCTGCGGAACTTCGGATCGATTCTCGAGCACCGATCGACAGTTTCGCCGGGGTGGCATCCTCCGCAAGAAATTCCATCTCGTTTTTTCCAACCTTGTTCTCTCTCGGGAGAGAACGAGAAAATTTCAACGAAGATACAGTCGATCTTGCATCGTTGGCAATACTCGAGAACTCGTTGGTTTCCGATCTTCTTCCCCTCCCCCTTGCTCGAGCCACGTCGATGCGGCGTCGTTCGATTACGATCCTCGAGAGTTTCACCCCCTCCTCCCCTCTTCCCCATTTCGATGCAAAAATCGAGCCAACGAGCTTCTTCTCTTTTCGATGGTGAAATCGAAGGGATTCAACGGGCCAATTCGTCTCGAATCGAAGCGAATAGAAAGAAAGAAAGAAAAAAAAAAAAAAACGGAACGAAATTAACGCTTAAACAAGAGATGAACATTTATTTATTATAATTTCTATAAATTTTATTCACTGCCCCCTCTTAAAAGTTAAAATACCTATTTGTCGTTTCTTCATTTTTCGGAAAAATTTCACGCGACTTTTCTTTTACTCTTCGTAAAGAAATTAGAAAGCTCGTGCAAATTTTGCAAACGATTTCGAAATAATTTCTAATTTTTTTTCTTCCTAGGATATTTTAATCGATCAAGCCGGGCGAAGTGATAAAAGAAGAACGAAGGAAAGAAGAATTACCGTTATTAAATTTCTTTTTCTCTCTATCTATATAAATATATATCTATAAAGTAACAAGATACGAGAAAATATATTTCGCTATACTTTGATTAATCTAAGAAAGGAAGGACAACAGGGATGGGGAAAGGAAAGCAAAGAAGACGAGAACGAAAGAAACCAACCAATGTTCCAATTAACGATTTTCTTCGTTGTCGCTCGCCTTTCCCGATTCATCCTCCATCGTTCGCCGAGGATCTATCTGGTCCACAGAATTCTTCGTTTATTACCTTCGCCCTTTCACCTTTCTCCTCGGAAGGAACGAAAAGAAACGATAGGAAAAGAGAGAGAGTCTTTCTCGCGTTTTATATGGAGTCTTGCCAATTTTCAGTGTTTCTTTCCATCCTTTTCGCGCTTGCCATGGCCACGACTATATTAACTATTTCACACGCCATGCATTAAATTGGATCTCTCTCGATCACTCTCTGTTTTCGAATTCTTTTTTTTCTTTTTCCTCTTTTTTCCTTTTAATCATTTTCACGAGACGGTGCGCACAGAAGACGGTGGCGGGCTCAGGTAATAACGCTCGTTTCATGCGCGCCTCTGTTCCTTTCTATTGTATGACTTGTGTGTATGCATGTGTGTGCTTGTGGTCAGATGATTGTGTGTATCGTTTCTCATGAGTGTGGAGTCGGATCGGGTTGGGGACGAGGGATCTGACCGTGTGTCATCGAGCCGTGTCACGATGAACAACCGTCCGATCCACTCGTAGGTATCTATATTTTTTTTTCTTATTTATATATTTATATATATGTATATATAAATATATATATACATATATATATACACATATATAATCCCTCACCAACTATCGCGTTCGCATATACTTATCCTCTCTCTCGCGTTCATCATACACACACACACTCGCCATTTCCCCGTGTTTGTTGTCAAGCGTAATTTATCCTGCTCTTTCATTTTTTATTCTCCCTCCGCTCTTCGTTTCCCTTTCTTTTTTTCTTCCAACGCGTCGTCTTCTTCGTCATCCCAGTAGCGCACACACCAGTAGAACACGGCACAACACACACGAGAATAATTATCGTCCCAATTATTTATTTCGTTTCCAATTAAAACGCTCGCTTGTGTATATATATATATATATATATATACACATATTACGGAACCGGGGGGTAGGGGGGTAGGGGGGGGGCACATGTTACTTCAGTTATGTATATATTTATAATATATAATTATTTCCTCCTTTAATTAGTAAATTCATTTATAATTAATAACTGTACAAATTTCAATGTCACCTATATATATATGCAAGTGAATGTGGTCGACGCTCGAGTCCGGCACACGCGTCGATTTCATTCTTCACGCCCTAAAAAAAAAAAAAAAAAAAAAAAGAAAGAAAAAAAGTTTCTTTTTTCCCTTCTCTCCTCTTTTTCTCGCCGTTTCTTCTTCCCCTCTGTTTTTCTTCACTTTCCTCACGTTTGCCCCTTTACGTTCCTTTACGAGTCGGGTCCTCGCGTCCTTTCTTCTCCGTTCTCTTCGTTCCGCATTTCGCATTGGCGCTCACGCTTTCGCGATTACGCACGCGCGTGCGCAATTTCTCGTATTAACAACGATATCTTTAAAACCGATCTTATAATCCTCCTATAATTCTCTTCTATATCATCTTCCATCCGTCAATTTTTAAAACGTGCACCCATCGCGCATCTAAAATTCTTTTTATTCTCTCTCTATATATATTTTTCTTTTTTTTATTTATTTATTTACCCGTATATATCTATACACATGGATCTGCGTATCTGCGCGCGCGCGTGAGTGTGTGTATATATATATACATATATATTCGCATTCGATCGTACGTCGAATTCCAACGTTCGTCCCATCGAACGTTCCATCCCCTCTCCGCAGTGTCCGCACTTTTTCTCTAGAAAATCTCCATTATTTCTCGTCGATTCTCGTGAAGCACGTGAACACCTATCTATTATCGTATAACGGATCCGTGGGAGCACCGGGTTCGCATTTTTTTATTCATTACTTTTTACTCCCCTCACTCTTTCTCTCTCCCTCTCCCCCTCTCCTCTCGTAACTCTCCCCTCTACCACTTTCGTTTTACATTTTTTTTTTAAACCTTATCTTTATTTGTATCATTATTATTATTATTATTATTAATATTAATTTTTTTACGTTTTTACCACCCCTTTAATGTACACATGCCCGCTAGAAATTGCCTATATCACTCTGTTCGAGGTTACCTCGTCGTTAATTCTCCTCCTCCTCCTCCTCCTCCTCCTCCTCCTCCTTCTCCTTCTCCTAATAATAATCGTTTTAATAATTAATAATAGCTCGATCGCGACCGTGTATTAAAATTTAACATTTAAATTCTTCGATCACTACAATATTACACCGCGACATTTGTACACAGAACAATCACATGAATTTCCCTTCCTCGCGGCTCCTCCGTTCTTCCTCCCCTCTTGTACCAAGCCGCGCCTTCATCCTCTTCCTTCTCCCCTCCTCCATCTTGCTTCCGGTTCCACGCGTACCAACACAAGCCTCTCGGTCGGTCCACACACCCCCATCGCTCCTCCAGTTTTTCCTCTTCGCCGAAAAGAAGAAGGCTCGAAGCTCCATCGAACCTCGAAACCACGATTTTTCCTCTTTCTTCTCTTCTTCCCTCTTCCTTCTTTTTCCTCCGCCTCCTCCAGAATCGGACCGACGGCCGTGCTGCTTTTCCGCCTCGACTGTCCGCATCGTGCGCTCCTGGCTCTCGAGCACCTTCCTCCTCCTCCTCCTCTTCGCCTGTTTCGCGTCGATCACGAGCCGAAGGCGACGCGAATCGTTGCCCCCGTTGCACCTTGCCGCTCTAACGCCAACCGGAGCACGCTGCGCTTCCGTCACGCTGCTACGTTTCCCGTTCCGCAAGAACCGTCATTCCATCGTCTACCTTCATTTGCGACTACTGCTGGAACGTGACAGATCGCCTCGTATTAATAATGGGCCACCGTTTCCCGCTCCCCTCCCCCGAGGACGACGATGGAAAGAAATTACGGACTCCGTTCGACTGGCTGTAATTTTCTTGGCCACCGATCGTTCGCCACCCGGAAGTCTCGAACACTGACGGTAATTTCCACGGTAATGGCGGACTTTGCTCCCGTTTCTTCTTCTCTTTTCTTTTCTTTTTTTTCTTAATCATACAATTGGATGATCCATTTTCTTGAATTGCGCGTTCAAAATTTTCAAAAACTTGGATCGATCGATCGAAATGGATCCAAGAATAATAACGGGACGGAACAATAACAAAGTTCAAGGATAATTCGTGATAATTCCAGAGAAGCGAACGTTTCACGAACTCGGCTCGACACCCCCTAAACCGTATTTTCATCAACGTTCACCAATTTAACCAGCCGTTCGATCTTCGTTTCCGGCCATCAATCTTTCCATCGTCATCGTCGCCCGTCACCGACACGATTATCAAATCAAACCCCACGTACGTGAAGCCTCGTGCAAGGGAGAGCTACTTTTCCCACGTACCTTTATAAGTGATGTCCATAGTACTCCGGGTAATGGTACTGATTGTGGAAGGTGGGATCACCGGGCGGCCGGTGCATCATGCTCGCCGCCTGTCCGTCCATCATGTAGCCCATCGTCGGGTCGGGACTGTACGCCCCGCTAGGACCTGCGGACAATGGCGGAAACACTACACGTTACTACGGTTAGATCGCTGTCCTGTAATCGGCGGGCTGGTGTTGGAAAAGCTCGTCGGCTCCCTTCGAGTAACACGGTTCGACTCGCTCGCCTCTTGGATGAGATCGAACGATGTTTCGAAACGAAGATCGCGCGAAGAGACGTGATTCTGTTGTTGTTTCTGGAAGAGATAGGGATGGACAGTCGAGAGAAGATTATTGTAAATGTATATTTCTCGGCTTCTATTTATGAATATAATTATTAAATTTCTGGCCGAGATGTTTGTTATTGTTTGGAAGGTGGATACACGCGAGTGAATTCATTTTTCTGATTTTAATGAGATTGTGAGGCGAGTTCAAAATAGATAGAATTAAATTTCAAAAGTACGATAACGCGATTTCAACGTTTCTTCCGCGATCTTCGTTTAAAAAGTAGGATCCAACGAGCTGTGTTAAATGGCGAATAGTCGAGATCGATCGATATTTCGAAAAGGCGAAATGATAAAATTGCTCGTATCGATATCGACTATATCGCGGACGCGTTCATGTCACCTTGATCGATAGAATTCATCCTGTCTGCGAACGAGAATTCATTCTGCAGGGCCTCTAATATCTGGAAACGGACGGAAGCACGCGCGACGCCAACGATTCGTTCAGGAGGGGGAAGGGGAAACCGGGATTCAATCTTCGTGCGTCAGCATAGACTAAACCGTTTCGGGCGACGACAAGCTCCTCTCTCTTTTCGTAAGCGGTAATGGAGCCAGGAATCCACGGGAGGCTCCCCTAGTTTTAATGTCGGTATCTTAATGTATATTGCCGCGATAAATCAAGGCCACTGATTGCGTCCTACCCTCGGGCACCAATACGAGAAGAACGAGAAACACGAGAGAGAGAGAGAGAAAGAGAGAGGAGAGTCATCTCTAAATCTTGGCCATTGCCAAACACTACTCTTCTAATCCTTTCTTACGCCGAATCTAGAGCTTATTTCTCGATATGCGTGCACGGTTATTTATTGCTCGTGAAACACCTTTTAACGGATCGGTGATGTTGCATCGAGTTTTCTAAAAAAAAAAAAAAAAATACTTCTGAGAATGCGGGTAATTGTTCACTCTCTGTGTTGATAAATGGCGGCGGTGTGTATGGACGAGGTGCTAGAGATTGCGATAATATGGATGGATGGATGTGCGAGAAAGTAATTTCAAATATCCCGTGATTTATTTCGCGAGAAATTGTTTCTTCCATCGGAGATATTGTAGATTCGAGTGATTGGAATTTAAAAGAAAAGAGGAAAAAATATATAAAATCGTGATTACAAGAGATAAAAACGGTTGACTACTCAACACTTGAAATTTTAGATTTAAATTAGATTCGATGGGAGGAATGAAATTAAAATTAAATGTATTCCAAAATTAGGTACGATTTAACTCGCTCGAGTATCTTTTTTTTCTTTTTATTATTAAGTTTTCGAAACTTGATAATAAGAATAAATTAATTAGATAATTAATCAGAATGCGATGTTTATCGGCGTTCCATTCGACGAGCAGCGAGTTCTACACAACGCGAGTGCCTCGACGAGGTTTGCTTCGTTCTCAACCCTATCGTAAATCACAATTATTGCGAATGTTTCTTCTGCCATCCCCCACTCTTCATCCGTCCCATCAGGCTCTTCCGTTTCCTCGGACGCGTGTTTTTCTCCCGCGAATTCCATACCTCCCCGCGGGATTCGTTCGTTCTACCCTCCCCCCGAAAGAACTCAAGGAATTGACGAGGGAGGGGGGAGGCCACCGACATAGGTATGCAAATAATTTTTAAGCGATCGCAACCGCGATTCCGCCTCCGTTTCTTTATTTCATCGTGTGTTTTCTGGCACGCGAGTGCAAAAACGAGAAGTAAGAACACGTTGAACGATCGACAAGAATTTCAAAAAGAAACTTCATCCACGCAACGTTCACGCGCAAAGTATAACTTCATTCGCGATGAAAATCTTCACGAACGGGGAAAAGAAGGAAAATCTCAACGAGAAGTACAAGCACATATCCATTTACCAGATACTTGTTCCGCGCTTCTTCTTCTCTCGCGAGAGAATAATCGAACGGTAGATTCGGTTGTAACGACGCGCCAATTTGAGAGAGCTCGGTCCACGCGCATCCCTCGCGTTTCCTTCGAACGCCTCCCGCGTGGCCGATTCCTTAATTTCCCGTATTGTGGCCGGCCGAGCGACGGGCGTCCCGCTGCGTTATAGCGCGGTTTAATCACACTACAAGCGCGCGTCCCTCGTTAGTGGGATATCTGGACGGCTATAACGGCTAGAGAGGCCGCATTCCGCGCGGCTCGTGAAAGATACACGGAGGAATCGTTTCGTGGTAACCCCCCCCCCCCCGCGATAATCGTTCCAAGCTCCCGTTGATTGGCGGAAAGCGGGATTCTTTTCAACGAATTATTTTCTTGCGGATCTCGTCTTCCATCCTTGGACGATGGATAATATCGTATATATATAGCTTCGTCGCGATTCTCGTTGTCTTCTTGGCGCGGATGAGGCTGTAAGAGGCTGTAAAACGATCGGTGTACTCGTGTTCCTCGGTGGATGGTTATGATCGAGGAGATTGGTAGTCGTGGTCTTGTAAAGATAGTCGATATAATGACTTCATACGAGAGGTGGACTCTAATATTCCGTTATGAGATGTGTTTTTCTCTGCGAGAGGATTTGAATGTAATGCACGATACGATCGGATAATTGTATCGATTCGATTTTATTAATAATAAAATTGTGAATGGAAAAAGAATCTAACTGTTGAATGTATTGTTGAAAATTACAAGAGGATCAATGGGACGAAAGAAAATTTGAATTCGAGGATGTCAAAATGTAAAAAAAAAAAAAAGAAAAAAGTGAAATTTCTAATCAATCGTGATTGCAATTAATAGAAAGAAAAGGGAGAAATTTGCAAAAATACAAATGGACAAACAAACGTACACGATCCAGCGAAGGACAATCACGATATCTCATCTGCATCCACCTGTATCCACAATCGTTCGAATTCACGAGCCATCCTACAACTCACCAGCCCATCGTCCATACGTCGCAACGATTAAACCTATACATCGTCTCTCTCTCTCTCTCTCACTGGGCTATCGACCGCTATCGAGGCAAGAACAAAAGGATCGATGATATCTCCTGGATCGTCAGATTCTTATCTAGACTGGACCTTCGATTTGCAAAAAAACTCGAAAGAGAGAGAGAGAGAGAAAGGAACAAAGAGAGGATCTCTCCTCTCCGCTTTAATAAACGAAGACGAACCATCGTGAGATATGATCTCTTATAGCCTTAATAGCAGCGCTTCTTACCTGTGTCTTTGAGTCTCGTGATACCACTTCACACAATTAACCCTCCGTCACGATTGCAACCAACACTTTTCCTACACGGTCGAGATTAACGTTTAATCGAAGTTTAGCGATGAAAGGTAAGAAGGAGAATTGGATGTAACGTGTTGGTGAGACGCGTAAATCCGTGAACTTGTTCCTGATGCGACCCTCCTCGAGGAGGTTTAAGACGCACGAAGCTACGAGTGCAATACCGTGGTGGCCGGCCATTCATTTTGGAGAAGGAGGAGGAGGAGGAGGTTAATTGCAGACACGGCAACTGGCGAGAAAGTATGTCGAGGATGCGCCAGGGAGCAACTTCGAGGTGTCGTTTAAGGGGTCAACGCGATCCGGAAGAGAAATTTGAATCTCGGACCCCAAATTGTGTGAAATTGCGTCCCGTTTCTTAACTTCGAGTCGAATCAAGTAAAAATAACAGTTTCGAGTCATTTTTTTTCCCGAGTTTAAGAAGTTCTTCTCGTTGGATAAATATGGGAGGAGGAGGGAAGTGTCAATAGCCTCCGTTTCCTTGACGTACAAACGATTTATAGAATCGAATAATGGGCGAATTAGCGACGATTACAAATTGGCCGATCGCGTAATAAATAGCCAGCGAATTGATTAGTAAGGACGCGTTAAACTGTGCATCGATGATAAATTATGCGAGCCACCGCGGATGCAGAAACGACTGACGGAATTTATGAGACGGTCCTCCATCCATACGTATCTCGGGCCGATGAAATTCGACGAAATTGAAAAAAAATCGCGGCAATTTTGCCTTATCTATGCATTAACGTTAAGTAAGAAACATAACAGGAACACTAATAATTTTATCCAAATTCAAATTTCTACAAGTACATAATGATAATCTGATATAATTGAACATATATACTTTCACATGATCGTGAATAATACCGCGATAAATTTATATTTATTCCAACAACTTTTTTGCTAATCTTTATCAATTTCATCACATCTTCTCCGTAATCCCTTATTTAATTTTCTAGAATCCATCACGTACCCCGTCGATGGTGGAAAAACGCGTGCAACCTTACGCGATCCCATCGTTCGTCCCCCCGTTACGAAACTTGTCTCCTCCCTTGCCTGATCAGCCGGCTCGAGCAAACCGCGAAACACGGAAAGACACGTTGGAGCAGCCGCTAAAGCGTATCTATTATACCTCGGCAAGATAATCCCCACGGAAACGAGGTAAAACTTCGAAATCCGTTTGCGGGGGCGCGGGGAGGCGGCTCTTGCTCTCGCCCCTCCAACACGGGAACAACATTAGTAACTTATGGTCGCGGCCCACCGGTTGGATGGCGTTTCCGTAGACGTAGATCCGGAACCGTGGTAAGAGGTCGAAGGCCTAGAGAGACCTCTAGGGGATGCAAACGTAGACGAGCGTGGAATCCTTGCGGGAGAGGTAAAGGGGTGAACGAAACCGAGCTTCCGAACTTAGTTCCACGCGACACGACGGTGAGTTTCGAGCCCTCCGCAGAGAGAAACCATAGTTGGCCGGAAGGCCCTCTCGCCGGTGCGAAAACCGCGGAAGAAGGGACACCAGCGTGGAGGAGAGAGAGCCGGTGATAAATATGAGCGGTCCAAGTAACGAGCATCAGTTCTCGGGAGAAGTTCGTGGCCGACCGTTGTAACGAAG